GTCCTCAATATTGTTGGATTCAACTAAGCGTTGCAAATTATTAATTTCCTTTTCAAGTTCTTCTTCATAATCACAATCCTTGTTAGATTTGTTCAAGTAATTTGATTGGCTAACGAAGAGACAGCTGTCAATCACAAACTGGACTTCAGCTAAGCTTTCAGTTTTGAGTAGTTTCAATCGGATTTGGAGAGAAGAACAATGCCTTTTAAGTTCACCTTTTAGTTAATTATTTAAATAAGGATCTAAAGGCAGGTAAAGGTTTGCAGTCCAGAGGAATCTGGCTGTATTGTGACTCATAAAAACGTGCACTTTTCCAATGGAAATTACGGAACAAGGAGCTCAAAGCTTGCAGATGAAAATGCGAAATGCTGAGTTGAATTTGAAAGGAGCTACAGTTATCTACAGCTTGCAGCCACTTGCAGCAAGATTGCTTAAACTAGCGCAAAGTTAGAAAGACTAAACTGCTCCCACTAGTTCTACTCTGAGCACAGAAGAGAATATCAGAGCAAGCTTTGAACTGACCACTCGTCGGTTCACTTCACTGAGATAACCGGAGAACGAGCGCTAATACACTACATGTAAGTGTTGTTTGAGCAATTGAGCATTTTTACAAAAATAAAGCTTCTCATCATAAACAGAGACAGCTCAATTGTTGATTTCTGTCGTTGTTTTACTTCCTAAGTATAATTTCTACCTTCGTAACAAATATAATGTCTTTTATTACAATTTAGGTTTAGAATTTGTTTATTTTGCTATGTGTATTGTCGGCAGGAATCCAGCAAAACTTGTTATTTTAGTACAGTTTTAACACTACTATTGCTAAAAATGGTCTCTGTGAGCCATATTTACTGCAGACAAAAAGCTTGTTTCCATTGCGTTTGTCTGAGTCACATGGGTTTAATTTGGGTCAAATTTGTCAAAATTCCGAAGCAAAAATTTGAAAGCCAGCTTACAGTCATCAACACGTGCTCTGTTCTCTGATAAAGCACACTGTTTCAGCCGATCAGAGCATGCATTATATGGAAACCAAGAGAAAATGAGGTGAGAGAACACATCCCTGTGCCCTGTGACAATCTTTTTCAATCTAGTTTAAGCTTCGCATCACGCTGTCAAAGTTATTTTTAGTCTTTGTCCCATGATTGTGCAGGCAATGGCCACGTGTCATCGGGTCGCGACTACTATAGTAAATATGAAATCGAAAATCTGGCGGGTTAAGAGAAAAAATAAGTTTGTTTTGAACTACATGTATACCACACTGTTAGCATTGGGCATATTTTCAAAGCGCTCACAGGGCAGGAAAAATGTACATGCTTCTCCAAAGTTAAAAAATTAATAGAAGTCATGTCATACTCCTGTATGAATAATTAACACAAAGCGCCAAGACTCTAATTTCTAACCCCTTGAAAGTCATTTCTTGGAAAGTACCAAACAGATTGATGCGAAAAGTAT